AATGGATGGAAACTGACCAAGGAGAGATTCAACCTAGAAATAAGGAGGAATTTTCTGACAGTGAGAACAATCAACCAATGGAACAGAAGTTGCCTTCAGAAGTTGTGGGAGCTTCATCCTTGGAAGCTTTCAAGAAGAGACTGGACTGCCGTCTGTCAGAAATGGTGTAGGGTCTCCTGCATAGGCTTGGGGGAGGGTTGGACTAGATGACTTACAAGGTCCCTTCCAACTCTGTTAATTTGTAATTTAAACTTTGTTTTACTACCAGCATAATAGAATTTGGCAACATCCGAAAAGGGTGTCCCTTGGATCAGTTGTCAGAATTTACATGTAGAAACTATCAGAGTGACTTGGGTATATACCAGGTGAGGGGAAATAAAATGGATTCTATTATCTGTATAAAAGCAGCACTGCAATAAATGCAGCCAATAGATTCTACGGTTCCTATAGACGTGAACATAGTCGAGCAGTATATGGAATTTCTTTGTATCTACCTTCCAAAATGGCTGAAAGAATAGCATTAAACTGAGTGAGTGTTAAAGTCCTTCTCAGCTTGGAGATGGTACTATTTAAGTATCTCACTGATTCATTGGCTGCTCAGGAAGTACAACCTGGTCTTTTTGACATTTCACATAATTCAGATCTATATCCTGCTGTACTGAAATGTGCTCTGTTCTGTTTTTCTGTAATACGTTGGGTAAATCTGGATTGTTATAAATGAAGATTGATTGAGTTGTTGTGGAAACTTCATGACATAAAGCAAGGGTGCTGTTGGATTTGGAATATCAACTATGTCCGTATTTTTCTTTTCTTTCAGGTCCCCCCGTAAGTACCAAAGCTTTTGACTCTGCTATGAAGAACGCATCTGCTGGTAAAGTGAATGGGCCCGGGGCCAAGGGAGAGAACAGTTTTCAAATGAGGAAGCCAAAAAACCCCTAAATTAATCATTTGCTGCCATTTAGATTCACAAATGCTTCTTTTCCTTTTCAAGCAGATAGCAATCTATTCCATGATGGGAAGTAAAGAAGCATTTGACTTCTCTGAGGTCAACTAGGGCTGATGAGTTAAGAGCTCAGAAACAAACATTTTATACTTGTGTGTTCAAAAGAACAAACATTTGAGAATCTACTATCTCAACTTTGTTATTGCCTAAGTAGATTGTGCTTGAGTTAATGCTGTCAAACTGTAGTGATATTGAGTGTTATAGGACTGGGATGAAGTACTGTATTTTTTGGAGTATAAGACACTCTGAAGTATAAGACACACCTAGCTTTTGGGGAGGAAAACAAGTGGGGGGAGTCTGCCTCCCACAATTTGCCTCCTTGCAGTAAACAGCAAACAGTACAGATGATATACACTGTTTGTGGCGTTACATTTCAGACTATACTTGTACAAATGCTGTTAAAATTGAGGTGGGTTTCTGGAAGTATGTGTTATTCTGTGCTATTGATAAGAAGATACAATAGCACTGGGACTCTTCAGATCAAGTATTTATTTTAAAAAGCTTCTTTTTAAATTTTGTTGTCCAGAACAATAATAAAGCAGTCTTTAAAAAATAAATCTAATCATTTGAACATTCTATAGGCATTTATTGTTATTGACTTACCTCCTTGCAGCAAATAGCAAACAGCCTGATTAGCACAAGGGGAAAAAAATCTGCCTCTGCTTCCCAGCAATTTGCCTTGTTCCAGCAAACAGCAAACAGCCTGATTAGCACAAGGGGAAAAAAATCTGCCTCTGCTTCCCAGCAATTTGCCTTGTTCCAGCAAACAGCAAATTTCACTTTCAATTTAAGCATGGGCCTCCCGAT